TTGCCATTTTCCTTCTCCAGTGGATTAAGGCAAACAGAGATTAAATGACTTGCCCAGGGTCACACAGCTATGTCTGAGGCTGGATTTGAACTCAGGTCTTCCTGACTCCAGATCCAGCTCTATCCACTGCACCACCTGGCAACCCCCATTGCTCCTTAGGATATCTCTAATTTTAATTCTTCTGAGGCCTTGCTTTTCTATCATTCATTATCATATAGGATTGCTGAAAGAATATTGATGTTAAGTAGATGGGATCTTGCAACACTGGCACCATAGTTCTCATTTTTAATAGATAATATTATAATGGACATATTTCACGTTACCAAAAAATTAGCAAGTCAATCTAGCTGACAAAATGGGGGGAAAGAATGGAAAATCTAGGTCACTAGATGGAGCCATAATGTTATTTTTAACATGTTAGCAGCTATTAGGGAATGAAAGTCTTCAACTACTCCGTGAGATTACCTCCCTTCTTAATATATAAGGACTAGACCTCCTATCACCTTCTCAGTTAATGCTTAACTCAATTCATTACTCAACGAGTGTTGCTTATTACACACACACCCCAGTGAAGTTAGGTCCCCTTTAGCTTTGAGGGTGTTATAGTCTTTAAAGAGTTTCAGTGAGCGGCTGGGTTGAAGATGCCTTTCCTGTTTTGTTGGTATTATGACATCACGGTTACTATGTCCTAGGAACACTCATCAGGAAGGAAGATCTCAAATGCTCTGTCAGCTTTATTATCCAGATACTTTTGAAAGCACGCAAGTGCATCACTCAGGGCTCCTCCCTGTACTCATCCACCCCAACTCCTTTAGCCACATCACTGACCCTTCACCACATAGAAAGGAGATGAAACTCATTTGTCAAGGATATAGCATAAACATGACTGTTGTGGCTACAATAAAGTCTAGTAGTTGTTTCTTGATTCTGTTGGTTTCTATTCACCTACAATCCCTAAAATATACTGGTCTGAGTTTCTCATTCCCTTTCCCCTGACTTCCCAGTGCTAACTCATAGGGAATACTTCAACATGCTAAGTCTACTGATAACTCACATTTATATAGCCCTTTAAGGTTTGCAAAGATCTTTCCTCACAACAACGCTGTGTGGTAGGTAGTGAAAGTATTATTATTATTATTCCCATTTTACATATATGGAAATTGAGAATCTGAGAAATTAAGTGACTTTTCCATGACCACACACTTAATGCCTGAGGCAGGATTTGAACCCAAGTTTCTTGATTCCAAGGCTAGCATCTAATCCACTATACCGGTGGCTTTTAATTCAAGTATCCCTGCCTGTCACATATGGACTTAGAAAACCACAAATTAACATTACATATGTTATGTTGTATTTTTATTTGTTAAACATTTCCCAATTGCATTTTAATTTGGTTTGGGCCATACTTAGGAGTTTTGTAGGTTGAATGAGACCCACTGGCTTCAAGTATAACACCTCTGCACACCATGTTTCCTCTCAATGATCAGTGATTTGATTAATATGTATATTCTCTCCACTAACAAAGCCTGAAACCCCTCCATGTAGATTGTTTTAAAAGTTTCTGTATTAGAAGTTTACCTTGAGGCTAACCTGGTGATGAGTGAAGTTCTCTGAACTTCACTTGACTAGTACTCAGACAACAGGTCTATCATCCATGGCCCAGTGGGCCAGCAACAAAGTCAGAGTTCATGGTTCATGGACAAGCTTTCCAAGAGACAAAGGTCTCCTCCACACCATGATGAAACAGCAGAAGAAGACTTTCGTGAAGGAACAAGGAGTAAATGGCAAAAAAAACCCCAAAAAACAAACAAAACAAACAGGAGGAGGAAGAGAAGGAAGAGACAGTATTAGAGTGGAAAAAGGATTGGATTTGAAGTTAAAAATCCAGTTTTGCCACTTATAACATGTGTAACTTTTGGGCAAATCATTTTACCTCTCTAGAAGTTTCTTCTTCTATAAAAACCTCGGCTTCCTTGTCTATAGAGGGAACTTGATTAAATGACCTCTAAGGTCCTTTCCAGCTCTAAATCTACTAATTTATAGCCAGGTTGAGTCAGCCCTTGGATAATCTGGTAAGTGTGATCTAAGCTTGAAGGAGCATTTTATGGCTCCCACATTCCTGGGAATAGTAGACTTTAAGACCCAGAGCTGGATGGGTAAATTCTCTGGCCCTCTCTAGAGTGGTTTATTCCTGATGCTAAGAATCAATCCACAGTAGGAGACAAGTGAGTTGCTAAACTGGTTGCCAACCCATTTTGATTTTATCCCTCCTATTTATTGCCACATACCACAAATGCCTAAAAGGATATCCAAATAATAGGGTGCCGGAGTGCTCTCTCCCCTTGGAGCCTCCCATGTCTGGAGAGCTATGCAGATAAACAGAGTACTTCAAAGCCATGAACACTTTCTCATAAATGTTCCACACCTATCAGCATAGGCGCTCTGTAATCAGAGGACCTAGGTTCAAATCTTACCTCTAACACTACAAGTATAATCTTGGACAAGTCACTTGTAACCCCTATGGGCCTCAGTTTACTGGCCTGCAAAATGACAAGTTGGATTAGATGACTTCTGGATTCTCTTGTAGCTCTGAACCTATGATCTTTTGAATCTCTTGGAGAGCTCTCATTCTTGTCAGGGAAAAAAATGGGGATGGTTGTCATCTAGACAGAGTCTAATCCAAGGGTCTCCCCAACCTTGGGCTCAATTAAAATGCATATATTAAGTACCTACTGTACTATGTGCTAGGCACTGTACTAAGTGAGGAGGATATGAAGCCAAAATGAAACAGCACTTGTCCTCAAGGATTCTGTATTCTATGGGAGGAGACAGTGTGTGTGTGTGTACATATACAGAGAGGGAGAGAGAGAATAAATAAAAATAAATGTATGGTAGTTTGGGGAGGAAGGATGCTAACAGTTGAGGGGGAGGGTAGATCAAGAAGAGCTGCATGTAGAACACCATATTTAAGATGCATCTTGAAGGAAGTAAGGATTCTATGCTGTAGAAGTGAGGCGGAAATGTGTTTTGTTCCTCTATCCTCCTTGCAAATGAGACGGTGATACAAAGTCACAGAAATGGGAGATTGCATTGTGAGGAACAAAGCTAGGCTGTCTAGACCACAAAACTGAAGAGAGTGATATGTAACAAGGCTGAAAAAGGTAGGGTTGGGTCAGGTGTTGGCAAACTTTAAAAACCAAACAGAGAAGTTTATATTTGATCATAGAGGCAAGAGGAAGGAACTGGAATTTATCAAGTAGAAGAGACTATGGTCAGATCTATACTTAAGAAAAATCACTTTGATAGCTGTGTAGGGTATGGATTGGAGTGGGAGAAACTTGATGCTGAAGAACCAGGTAGGAGGCCATTGCAACAGTTCAGGCAAGAAGTGATAAGGGTCTGAACGTGATAGTTAAGTGAGCAGTGAGGAGGGAACAGGTGCTAGAGGAGGTGTAGAAGTAGAAACTGCAAAAATTTGGTAACTGTTTGGCCAAGTGGGGTAAGAGAGAGTGAAGAGTTGAGAATGACAATGAGGGTGCAAAGCAGGGAGAGTGGACAAATGGTGGTCTCCTTAATAGAAACAAGAAAACGCAGAAGAGGAGCAGAATGGAGGGCAAGAATAATGAGTTCTGTTCTAAACATGAAGAGTTTGACACATCTATGGGACACTTAATTTGAAACGTCCAATAGGCAGTTGGTTTTGTGGGAATGGAGTTCAGGGGAGAGATTGGTGCTGGATTTATAGATCTGGGAGTCATTAGCACAGATGTGATCATTAAACCCATGGAAACTCACAAGGTCACCAAGAGAGAGTATAAAAAGAGAAGGCTGTGTACAGAGCCTTGGGGTACATGCACATTTAGGGGGGCATGAAATGCATGATGAGCCAACAAAGTAGACTGAGGAGTGATCAAACAAATAGAAGAAGGAGAAGAGAGTAATAATAACAAAAACCCTCAGGGAAGAGAAAGGATACTCAACAGTGTCAAATACTGCAGAGAGGTCAAGAAGGAAGAGAACTAAGAAAAGATCATCAATTTGGCAGTTGGGTAACAATATGGCAAATAAGTAACTTTGGACACACCTCTTTCAGTTGAGTGATGACGTCAGAAGCAAAATTGCAAAGGATTGGAATGTGAGCAGAGAGGAAGTAAAGGTCGTGGGTTTACATAGCATTTTTTCCAGGAGAGTAGATACAGAAAGATAACTTGGAAGGGTCTAGTGAGGGTTTTTTTTTTTTTAAGAATGGGGGCGGGGGTTGGGCTTGTTTGTGGGCAGCAGGGAAGAGAAAAATAGGGAAAGTTTGAAAATTGGAGAGAGAACAGGAAAACTAGAGGAGAGGGGGTCAGCCTTAGTGAGAGAGCCTGCCACATTATTGCAAATTGGAGTAAAGGAGGAGAGCATAGGAGGTGATGTCCAGGGGTTTTGAGATGAAGAGAAGGGGTTCTGGGGGAGGAAAGAAAATTCAGAGCATCTTCTCTGAGCTATGTGTGGATTGGGGATGGGGAGGTGAGAGGGAAGAGGTTGAAGATGTGGGGAAAATGCTTGGTAGGGAAAATTAGTACTACTATTTTGTCCCATTGTAACAGGTGAAATTTTAGTTTTTAATGTAGGACGTTTCCCTATCCATCTCTTTCACCTTTCCTCCAGTCCAGACGAGAAGGAGGTCCTAGGTAGGAAGTTAACACATAACCTACCAACAGGTAAGCTCCCTTTGTAATAAAGGCAATTTCCATTACACTCAGTTCAGTGCTACAACTATCAGTTTAATGGTGCTCCTCCTCCAAGACTTTCCTCTTCAAAGCGTTCCCTAATTGGTTTCCAGAGATGGGTTGGTAATGAGATGATTGGTCAATTCCATGAAAGCCTGCCCTGCCCCCATCCTTCTCTTGCCTTCCTCAGGGTAACAGCTGGAATGAGAAATTGGGAGAGAAGATTGGGATTGGCTGTAAGTCAGAGGCAGGGTGGGGTGAGGCGGGACAGATGAAGCATTTACCTGTCTAGGTAAGTCAGGAAGAGGTCAAAAGAAGTAGGAAACTGTAGGAGGCAGGACAATTGTTCTCTGTCTCCGTCTTTGCCCTTTGGATAAAAGGGCTATTCTATTCTTTTCTACTCTTCTGACCATCCACCCAGTAAAGGTGAGTTTATCACTGGTTAATTCTTGTTTACTCAGTTGCTAGAAGAGGGTCTTCAGATGTAGGAAATCTGGACTTGTAAGTCCCTGGTGTCTCTCTTTTCCCAGTCAGACTCCAAATGAGAAGTCAAAGACTTTCTTTGCCTTATTATTCTGAATTTGGGACCTGGAATTGGGGTAGGATTTGTTTTGGGGATCTGGGCCAGGACATATATCTTCTGATTGTTCCTGTGTTGGGGCTTGGGGGAAGCAAGCAAACTTTCTGTGAAAGTTAGGGAGCAATGAACAGATATTGAAACTTCCTTCTATGAACAGTTGAACTAAGGCAGTGATCAGTGGAGGAGGAAGCAGGAGAATTTTCCTAGCAGACCGAAGTACCACCCTCCAGGGTGTACCATGGTAGATATTTAACTTGGGGCTCTTTTCCCTCTTTATGACTTAATGGGGTGATGTTTATTTAAACGAGGGGTGCAGCAGGGATGAGTGTGTGCATGTAAGTGGGTGTGGCTCTGATTCTGGAGCTCCCTGGGTGTTGTGAGTGGCATGTGAGCAGTGTAAGGAGGGTATGTATTGGGGGTAATGGCAGAGAATGTGTGTGAGCACATGTTGGCTTAACAGGGGTCTAACAAGGTGCTCTAAAAATTCCTTCAGTAATGATGGTCCCTCCTTCCCATAGATGCAAATCTAGGCTTGTTCAGGTGCAACTCCGTGCTTTGGTCCAACTGTCATGAATGGTGATAAGATACAACAGAAAATTCCTGGATCAATAGGACCCTGCTGCACTTTGGGAGGGGAGGGGAAGGGACAAAAGTATTACCCTGGCAGTTGTAGCAAAAATCTTCCTTGGGTCTTGTCTAAATGGGGGTTCCTCTTACTTTCTCAGCCCTGAGAGATCAGGCTCTGATCCCTGTAGGGTAGTGTTTGTGGTAGAAGCCCACCAAGGCTCAGGCAGGTTTGATTTTTTTCTCGTCTCCCCGTCTATTCTTCTATCCTCAATTGTCTAGCTGGAGGCTATGTGCAAAGCAGATTTCAGTGTACAAGGAAGGATTTAAAGGTTGGAGTCTCCAGTTATGTAGTATGCATGTTAAGGTCCCTTTGCTTCTCTATGTGTCTGTCAGGGGGTGGGGGAGACATCAAACGTGGACTTTTAAGGTAGTCCTGCCATGGACACTCCTTTTAGCTCCATTGTGGATCACAGTTCTCACTGCCCTGGGCAGGTAACCCCTTTCACTCACCTGCTAAGGCTCCACCCTTGAGCTACCCTTCATACTTGGCAGGGGACTGATCACTAACAATAACAATGTGTAGTGCTTGACAAAGGTCTCTCTATCTAGCAAGAGATTCCTCCTACCAGCCTCTTCCTCCCCCCTCTCTCCTCCCCTATAAGGATTTTAAAAGTAGGTTATGACTTTGCCTAAACATACAACCCTACACATTCAAATGCATAAACAGACACAAGTACATATGCACCCCTTCCCTGGTTATTTGGGTTATCCCAAATTCCCTTACCTGGAGCTGATTTCTGGGCAACAGGAAATAGAGGAATAGAGGCATCTGGTTTGTGAGCACCTGACAAGTTGTTCTTGGTGAGTGGGGAGGGTGGCTGTCTCTTGGAGTATATTAGAACAATATGCTGGTGGTGAAGGGGAAGTTGATGAACAACTAATACCATGGGTATGTGGTATATTATAGAAGAGTCTGATAATCAGGGTATTTTTTTCTGGAAGCAGAGGGGTTAGGAAATGCTTCCTGTAGAAGGCAGGATTTTGGATGGAACTTGAAGGAAGCCAGGAAATAAGAGTTGAAGAGGGACAGAGAGCATTCTGCCCTCTAAAGTCCTAGGACTGGAATGGAACTATTTCTCCTTTCCCCTCTTGAGATGCCTGTGCTCCATATGCCAAATATTTATTGACTTTCCCCTAAGCCTTGGCTGGTACAAGTACAGTGGTTAATATTTAATGTTCCTTTGGAGTGGCTACAGATTCTATAGAGCTTTTAACCCTGTAAGCAACATGGCATAGTGGATGAGAGCTAGTCTCAGAGTTAGAAATACCAGGGTTCGAGACCAGCCTTGGCCACATGCTGCTGGTGTGACTCTGGGCAAGTCACAGTCTCTCAGTGTTCTAGGAAGCTGTCTAAGGCCATAAGCTGCAGAGAAAGCACAGATCTGTGTGCCTTCTTTGGTAGAGGAAGTTCCTCACCAAGTGCTCTGTATACTCATGAAATCTCAGGTGCAGTCAAACCCCAACCACCACCCCAAATATCAAAAACAAAACAAAAAAAAAGCAAAAGTAAAAAGCAAAAACAAAAAAACCCCAACCTGCTCTCCTCTAAGTCTACCAGGGCAGCCAGGGGTTAAAAAATACCACCTGCATGAGCTTTTTTCACTGGAAGTGTTTAGATTGTTTCTTGGGCCCCTTATCAAGCAAGAATGCCTCCAGTTTCGAGAATTCCTGTGAACCAGCCTCCTAGTTTCAGGGTTGTAAATCCATCCAGCAGAAGTAGGGCACCTCAGCCAAGGTGGGTCAGAGAGGGAGGAGGGAGGGGGCACTGTTTCATAAAAGCCTTCTCAATGTCCGAGGGATGAGGGAGGGTTGACTAGAAACACCTTAGAGTTCAATCAGGTTTAGGTTCATCCTTTTGGCATGTGTGGGACATAAGGAGTAAGAGAAAGACTATGACCTTGGTGAAGGTGGTATCTTCTGGTTTACTTCTTGAGGACCCCCTCCCCATTTCTTGGGCATAAATTTGACTTCAGGCAAGAAACGAGACCAGGTTACATTCTAGGATCTGTCCCAGGACTGAGACTCTAAAAGCAGAGGGGACCTTTGTCCACGGGTCTTTGACATCCATTGGTGTGCATGACAGAGGGCATAGATACTGAGAAAAGGTCAATTTTGAGAAAGGTACCTCTGTGGAAGCAGTGAGTCAGGTCCTATGTGACTGAATTTTAGAGGACAGAATGGTAGAAACAGTGAATCCTCCACCATACTCTGAGATACAGTGATGCTGGCCTCCTTCCCGTTCCTCAGAATAAGATACTGCATTTCTCGCTCCAGACATTTTCACTCGATGTTCCTCATTTCCAGAATGCCCTCCCTCCTCATTTCTTGTTTCCTGGCTTCCCTTGATTTGTTCAAGTTCCATCTAAAATCCTGCCTTCTATAGGAAGCCTTTCCCATTTCTCATAATTCTACTGCCTTTCTTCTGTTGGTCATTTCCAATTTGTACATAATTGTTTGCATTTTGTTTCACCCACTAAACTGAGCTCCTTGAGGGTAGGGAATGCTTTTTGCCTTTTTATTTGTAACCTCAGCACTTAGTATAGTGCCTGGCACAAATTAACCACTTAAAACATGCATATTTATTGATTGAATGCCCTTAGCGACTTGGCTTTTTGTATCTGGTGAGAGAAGGCTCTTTGTCTGGGTTTGTGCCATGCCAAAAAAAAAAAAAGGAGGAATAGTTGAAATGACCTTTTGATCTGTTATAGATGCTTTGTATGTGTTTCACTGGAAACCTTCCATCTTGATTCAAGAAATGCAGTCTAATACTAGCAACTATCCAAAGTCATACAATTATTAAATGTTAAAATGGAAAAGACCTTAGGAGGTAATTTATTCTCACCAGTTCTTTGTGCCTCAGTTTCCACATCTGTAAATGAAGAAATGTGACTTGCCCAAGGTCACACAACTGGTTAGTGAACTAACGCTCTTAACTTCTAGCTCCTGCCTTCTCTGCAGTGCTCTATGATGCCACTATTTTACAGGGGAGGATATTGAAGCCAAGTGTAGCTTATTACCCAGTTCACTGAGCCATGTTAGTTCTCTTTTATTTATTTGTGTTGTTGTTCAGTTGTTTTTAATCATGTCTAACTCTTTGTGACGCCATTTGGGGTTTTCTTGACAAAGATACTGGAGTGAATTGTCATTTTCTTCTCCAGCTCATTTTACAGATGAGGTAAGTGAGGCAAGCAGGGTTAAGTGACTTGCCTAGGGTCACATAGCTAGTAAGCATGTGAGGCTGGATTTGAACTTGGGAAGAGGAGTCTTCCTGACTGAAACTGGAATCTGAGGCCTCCATTGAGTCACCTTTATTTATAGTATATTCTAAAGACATAAGAAAGATGTGAAAAATAAGCTTGCCAGCAGAAAGGGTCCAAGTTTCTGACTAGTAAGAATCTCCTGGCAGTTCAGGCTGGGACTCTGGAATGGACACTTGTGGAATTCTCTCCACAGACATTTACTGAGCACTTACTTACCACACTAAATGCTGTCCTAGAGACAGTATATTGTAGGGAAGAGAGTCTTAGATTTGGGATCAGAAGACCTGGATTCAAAGCCCAGATTTCCTGACTCCCTGTGCTCTCTTGGATAGAGCACTTCATGCACCTCAACTATGCATCAGTTTACATATTTGTAGAGTAAAGGGATTGAAGCAGGTGATCTCCAAGGTCCACTCCAAATACCTTGATATTTGATTATGGTTTTTGTTAAAATTAATTCAACATGCATTTATTAAGTATCCACTACTCTATATGAAGGGACAGCTAGGTAGCACAATATAGGTAACACAGATATGGTGCTGAGCCTGAATGAGATAGAAAGACTTATTTCTCTGATTTCAAATGTGGCCTCAGACACTTGCTAGCTGTGTGACCCTGGATAAGTCACTGTACTCTGTTTGCCTCAGTTTCCTCATCTGTCAAATGAGCTGGAGAAGGAAATGGCAAACCACTACAGTGTCTTTACCAAGAAAACCACCAAATAGGGTCATGAAAAGTACATGACTGAAAAACAACTGAGCAACAATAAATAGATATGAAAAGGACTGTGCTCTTGATACAAGGACAAAAATAAACCAATCCCTTTCCTCAAAGTGCTTATATTCTCCAGACAGGGATACAGCATGTAAACATACAAGGTCATTGGAGAACAGAGAAGGACACTGGCAGTTTTGGCAATGGGTTTGAAATTCATTTCCTGGGGGAGGCTGGCTTGGTGTGGGGAAAAGGGTAGGGGCCTGTTTAGCTTCACTTCTGAAAGGCGTGACCAGCCTCACCACTGAATTCCATCCTCTCCTGCTGCTTCTTTCATGTTCCTATTTCCCTAAACCACATGGCTGCCAGCTTCTGCTTGATGAAGTCTCCAGGTGGTGAGCAACTGTTTTCTTGGTCCATGTTTACACCTCCAATTCCAGTTTCAACTCCTCCTCAGTGCAGTATTGGCCTCGGACTTTTTCACTGATACCTGAGGTCCACCCTCGCCCCTGTCCCCCCACCCTGACAGGTCCAGGAACCTCATGTGTTTCAGAGATGCCTGGCCAGTGCTCTTCACCCCACCCTGCCCCACCTAATGTCAAATACCTCCTCCCAGGCAGGATAGGGCCTTGTGCTTACCAGCTCTGTGTGACTTGTAAGCTGACTCACTTTGCTTAGCCCAAACTTGACTTTGGCACTGGCAACTGAACTTGGCAGGTGTTCCCTCCAGTCCCCAAGGCCGACTTTTCAAAGTAGAACCCATCCCCCCCCCCAAATTTACTAAGAGTTTTGGTGGGTGGCAGGAAAAGAGAAATGATAGGTATAGGATTTTATGCCCCCCGCCCCAGCCCATTACAGTCAGGAGTTAAAGCACTGAATTGAGTCCCCATCCCACCTTGGCCCCAATGTTGCTGTGTGACCTTGAACAGATCACTTAGCCTCTGTTAGTTCTCAGCTTTTGGTATTATAGGAAGGTCACCTCAATCTCCCTATAGTTGGCTGGGTTGTTTGCCTATGTGAAAGGAAATCCTTTGAGAAGAAAGGTGCCATTTTAGCTCTAATGTGATAATAATGATGATGATAGCTCACATTTGTATGGTGCTTTGAGGTTTGAAAAGTGCTTTCGACACATGTTAAATCTGTTTGCTGCTCATGGGAACCCTGTGAGGTAGCTGCTATCATTACCTCTGCTCCACTGATGAGGAAAACCACTCAAAGTCATGCAATTAGTATCTGTTGGGCAAATGAAAATAAGGGATGGGGTGAAACAGGCAAAGGGTTTGCTTTGTTACCCACTAAAGCTCCAAAGGCTAGGGCAGTGCAAGATGTCTGTCTTGTATTCATTCTTTAAAGTCATCACTCTTATACCAGCATATTTCTTTCGTATTCCCTAACCACTCCAGTCTCCTCTGTAACTTCCTTCAGCAACCAACAGCATGAAGTCCAAAAAGAAAGGGTACCTCCCTAACAAAAGGAATTTAGGTCAAGCTTTCTGATGGGAAAGAATGAAACATGATAAATGTAATGAAGGCAATGAAACCTTTTTTTTGTTTAATGCCCAGAGAAGAAAGATTTGGGGGTGGGGTGTGAGTGATAGCTGTCTTCATATATTTCCTGTAGAAGAAGGATGGAACTGATTCTGCTTGTCCCAGGGAGCAGAGCTAGGCACAATAGGGGGAAGCTACAGAGAGCCAGATTTTGGCTTTTTGTAAGGGAAAACTTGGCCTAAATTGAATGGGCTATTTTGGGAGGAAGTGTCCTTGGAACGGAGGCCAGATGACCACTTGTCAGGCCTGCGACTCAAGGAATTCCTGTTCAAGTAATGGGTGGATTTAGATAACTTCTGAGGTCTTCTTCCAGCTCTTGAGCTTCTGTGATTCTGAATGGGTCTGCCTCTCTACCACTGCCTCCTGCTTCCACAGAGGCAAATGTCCAAGTTCCTCTTGTGGATCCCCTTCTAATTCTTTGCTTGGTGACTCCAGAAACCATGCCACATGGCTGAGGCACAGGTCAGAGGCCTTGGTTCAAAGTGGATGATTCTTCTCTCTTTTCAGGCCAGGCCTGGGACATTCTCCGCTTCCCTTCACTTCCCCCTCTGGGAGCCCCTTTCACCGCCTCCTGTGTCTTGTTTCGGGTGATGCCTGAAAGGGAGCTGTGGCCAGTGGGCCCCGGCACAGAACCCGTGACCCGCGTTGGCAGCTGTGACAGCATGACGAGCACCAACTCCACTCACTCGGGATTTGTACGTACGGCCTCCCCCAACCCTCCCCATCCCTGCCCTGGCTCCCTCAGCGCCATCTCCACATGGCTACCCTGTAACCATTCCTGCCTCTGCTCTGTCATCCTCATCCTTGCCCTCTGTGCTTTTTCCTTTGGTGTTCTGTGCTGGGGAGTTAATCATGCCACCATGCTTTCTTCTTCAGTTCACCTTTTATTTGGTAGAAAACAGGGCAGTACAGCCTTAGAGGGAAGTGGGATAGATTGGGGTAAATGAGGCAAGCCTTTGTTTCCCTTCCTTTTATTTAGCAGTGGGAGAGGAAACATCACTTAGTTATAGGACATTAGAATTATATGGGACTTAGAGAAATAACAATAATAATTATTATTATATCAAACAATAGCACTTTAAGGTTGGCAAAATCTTTAATATGTTATTTCATATGATGTATACAACACTCTCATGAGATAGATACAATGATTATCCCCATTTTACAGTTAAGAAATGTGAGGCAGACATAGGTTAAGTGACTTGCGCAGGGTCACACAACAAGTAATTGCCTAAGGCAGGATTCAAACTCGGTCTTCCTGACTCCAAGTCCAACACTCTATCCACTGTACCACCTAGTGGTTTAGTCCAACCTTTTCATTACTTGAATTAATTGAAGTTAAATAACTCACCCAAGATCACACAGCTAGTGAGAGTCAGAGCCGGGACTAGAAGGCAAGTTTTCTGACTCCCAGTCAAGTGCTTTCTGCACTAGGTTAGGCTCCCCATACCTCTAAAAATTCTGCCTAGAGACTCTGGGTTCTTCTAGCTTTCTTGAAGCCTTCCCACTGTGTGGAAACTTGAAGTCAGCTTTCAGAAGCTCAGATGCACCTGGGGAATCCTGCAATGAGAGGTCTATTCTTAGTAGAATCCAAGCTGAGCTAGACTATCTGTAGGAGACCCAAAGTCTGTCTAATGAAGACACTGCTGGCAATCCACCACCACTGGAAAGTTTTCTAGCAAAGCACCTGGATTATGGAAGGGTGAAAGTCTTGTGTCTCTTTGTAGCCTGGAGAATTTAGATTATACCTTTGAAAGAACTTCCTAGCGGAGAAGGTAGAAAGAAAGAAAGAAAGAACCTGGACTGGGTGACCAAGGGTAGCTGTCAAATCTCATTCCCTGAGAGCCTTTGTCCTTCTTCCAGAGACAGTGGAGTTCTGGAATGTAGAGAAGACACGATCTCTTCACCTTCCTTCCATACCAAAGATTCTTGTGTCCTTTGCAAGAATTACTTTTCGGTATCTCTAGATGTAAAAGATAGGCAGCTAGGTGGCTCAGTGTATAGAGCACTGGGCCTGGAGTCAGAAAGACCTGAGTTCAAATCTGACCTCAGACACTTACTAGCTGTGTGACCGTTGGCAAGTCATTGTCCCTGTTTGCCTCAGTTTCCTCATAGTAAAATGAGCTGGAGAAGGAAATGGTAAACCACTCCAGTATCTTTGCTAAGAAAACCCCAAATGGGGTCATGAAGAGTCAGACATGACTGAAAACAAGTGAACAAGGTGTAAAAGAAGTGAGTCACAAGTAGAGCATGTAAATTCTCAGTAACCCCCAAAATAAATGCTCAAATGCATCAAAGAGAGAAGCGAAAATAAGCTTAACGACAGCATTCTTCTATGGACCCTGCTATGTTTTGTATGTTTTGTTTTTTAAAATATATCTGAAAGGGGTTATTGAATCTTAATGATGGAAGGGACTTTAGAGACTGTTTGGTTCAATTCCCAGTGAGACCCATGAGGATAATTTTCTAGTTTAATTTTGTCTGTATAATAAATTAGGAAAAAATAGCTCACACACGCACATCTCCCAGAGCAGATAATCCCAAGTAATGTCTAGTTGGTCATAGAACATATTTTGAGGAGGGAGAAGGATTACAGCAGGTGAATCTTTTTACTTCTGTTTTGTTGAAGAGAGAAACCATGGTGTAATGGTGTATAGAGAGCTCACTTTGGAGCTAGGATGACCTAGCCTCAAATGGTACCTCTGATGTACCACCTGTGTAACTTGAGCAAATCACTTAACCTTGGTGCCCTGGGCAACTCTCTGAGACTTACAAATTGCTGAAAAGGTGCTGACCTACATTGGTAGAGGGAGTTCCTTGCCTGGGAGTTTCCTATATCTGTGCAGTCGCAGGTCCAGCCCCTATCCTTAACCCTTTCTTGAAGTTAGTATGAATGAGCAAGAATGGACATAGCAGGAAGTGGTCCCAGAATTCATTGAATCTCTGAATTCCTTCATTTCTAACTGACTAAACATCGGCCAAAGTGAATTATCCACCAGGCAGATAATTGAGAGTTGGTCCATCCTTGGCATGAAAGGAGATGCCTTTTCTTTTTGGACTTCATGCTGTTGGTTGTTGAAAGAAGTTAGGAGACTGAAGTGGTTAGGGGCCTACAGACTATATTTGGGTGAGCTAGCAGCCCATTATAACTTGTACCCCAACATTAACTTTTCTACCAACCCACAAGGAGCTGTAGGAAGAGCCAAGAGAGTTAGCAAATTCTGTACATTCTTTAATATTGAAGGGTAGGTGGATAGATGGAAGAAACTGCCCCTCCCACCCCACCAGGGGATTGTTGGTGCCTGGCCTCAAGGCCACCCTGCTCTGTAGTTTTCAGGTGTCTTCAGGCTTTGGTGGGAGAAGAAGGAGTAATTAAGAGTGTTCTATGGTTTGCAAAGCACTTTACAAATATTTCATTTTATCTTCTCAAGAACCGTAGGAACCTTCCTTTTACAGATGAGGAAACTGAAACAGACATAGGTTAAATGACTTGCCCAGGGTCACACAGCTAGTAAGTGTCTGAGGCTGGGTTTGAACTTGGGTCTTCATGACTCCAGGTCCTGCTTTCTAACCACTGACTTAATTACAACTGTTAGGGAACTGATGCCCAGGTCTCCTGTTATTATTCTTCCACTTGGCCCTACTGTTACTTACTTCCAAATACCCCCAAGTGCTTTTTGTCTCTAGTCAAATTTCACTCATGTCTGGAGTCCCCACTTTGTGAATTATCACTGAAATATTGTCCAGTTTGGGAGAGATAGGTGGTACAGTGGATAGAACGCTGAGTCTGGAGTCAAGAAGACCTGAATTCAAATCTGGCCAGGTACTTACTAGCTGTGTAACCTTGGACGAGTCACTTAATTCTGTTTGCCTCAGTTCTGTAAATTGTAAATTGTAAAATGAGCTGGAGAAGGAAATGGCAAACCATTCCAGTATCTTTGCCAAGAAAACTCCAAACGGGGTCATGGAAAGACAAATACAACTAAAACACTGAACAACATTATCTGGCTTCCTCTTCTACTGAATTCCTACGTGAATTCTTATCTTCTCTCATTAGTTGGTGAGTGTTTAGGAAACACAGCCTCTTTGTCTCAGCCAAATATCAGGAGGTCAGCTTTTCTAAGGGAAGGGGAAGTGTATGGTAATAAGCACTTATTTGGTGCCTACTGTGTGCCAGGCATTGCACTAAGTGCTCTTTTATAAATATTTCATTTGATTCTCACAATAACTGTGGGAGGTAGGTGCTATTATCCCTATTTTTAACAGTTGGGGAAACCGAGGCAAACAGAGGCTAAATGACTTACCTAGAGTCACATAGCTAGTAAGTGTATTAAGGCCAGGTCTTTCAGGCTCCAGGCCCAGCTCTCTATTCATTGCTCCACTAACTGCTTCCAAATCCTTGGTGAAATGAATTTCAAAGACAAGGATAAAAAAATTATCTGTAACATACAGATATACTCCCTATCCCTATCACCATGGATAATCAAAAGTTAGCTACAGTTTACATGTGTCCTTACATTGTCCTTGGTAACAATGAAATAAAATATATAAAAACATTAAAAAATATATATATGTATTATGAACTAGAGAATCATCAACAAACGTAGATATTTGCACATACCAAAGCCAGAAAAAGAAATTATGATCTATTTCTAATCTACAACTTGGTTTTTTCTACCACATCTATGTATGTATATATATGTATTTATCTATATGCAGATATGTATCCATCTTGTGCTATTTTTCTTTATTCCATTTGAACCTCCTTCTTTTCTCTTTTGGATATTTTAAAAGTCCTTGAGAAAGTACTTTATAACAGGAAAATCACTATGCAAGCCAAAGTATTATTCTTGTCTTTCCATTTATTGCTGGAGAAAAACAGAATGTAAAAGATTTACTGACACCATTGCTAAGGGAACAGGGATTAAAATCCTTTTTTTCTGACTTCTAGTCCTTTACACTAACTAATAGACCCCAGAACTTGGAGGAAGGTCGTTTGTTTTTTATTTAACAAAAATTATTAGCCATCTATCGTGTGCAGAGTACTAGGCTAGCTTACAGTCTAGCAGGGGTTAACATTTCATACAGAGATAGCTTTCATATTCAGTATTTTGCAAGCACAGTAGAATTGAAAAACAAAGTATTATTTGAGGTTGAAGGGGGAAAGTCAGTATGGAGAGGAGGGAGAAGAAAGTGCAGGGACAGTTTCATGGAGGAGAGGGCATCTGAACTGGGCTTTAAAGAAGGACTAGGAATCTACCAGGTGGTGATGATGAGGGAAGGATAAGCATTCCAGATATAGGAAATGAGGTGTGCAAAGACGTGGAGGTGGGAAGCCACAACCTCTGCATGTTTAGTAGATCACAGTATCATGGGGAACTGTTTCTCTGGTTATCCCTTTCCTGGTGCCCAAGGGTTGAGAGAACAGCCTAAGCGGGTTGATCCAGATTGGTAGAGAGGTACTGTGGTTCCATTTCCGGCTCTTCAGCATTCCTTCCACAGAGGGAGCAGGGCAGGGTGGTGCTTGGTCCCTGTCAGTTTCTGCAGAGTTAATTTTCATATTGCCCCCTCTTTCCCTAAACTGACCTTTTTTCAATTATCCTTTGGTGGTTTACAGAGTGACAACAGCTACGACTTCCTATCGGCAGAAGAGAAAGAGTGTCTGCTTTTCCTGGAAGAGACCATTGGCTCCTTAGACAAGGAGGCTGACAGTGGCCTCTCTACTGACGAATCTGAGCCAGCCACACCCCAGGGCCCAAGGACAGAGCCTGTTCTCCAGGGTAAGAATGTTGGGTACCTCTTAAAAGTGCAACCTTAAAAGTCAGTAGATCTCACTAACCATTTTCGACAGCCTGCCCTTGATCTAGTTCTCAGTTCAATGAATATTTATGGAGTGCCTGCTATGTGTAAAGCACCATACTTAATAAATAAGTAAAGCACAGACCCTGCCCTCAAGGAGCATATTGTGGGAAAGACCTATCCATGAAATAACTGAAGTGTCCCAGAGAAGTATACACAAGTTGCCACAAGGGTTGAAGGGAGGGATGGGATGTGGGCAGAGAACCAAAGTCAATCCAGATTGTTCATTTCCCTCTAGGTCTAAATATTGATTCATTGTAGGTCAGTGGGGGATAGGCTCTTTATTAGTCAACTTAAGAAGAACTCTGTCCTCCTTCCCTCCCTCCTTCTCTCCTTCTTCCTTTCCGCCTCTCCTCCTCTTCTGCTCTACCCCTTTTCCCCTTTTCCCTTCTCCCTTGCTGGGCTGGGTGAGACAAAAAACAAAAAAGTTGACTTGTATCTGCCCTGCCCATGAGGAAATCTTCAGGAGACCAAGCCCATGAAAGAGAGAGGAATGAAGGGGTGGATAAGAGGTACTGGGGAAACTATCAGTCTGGGGTGTCTAAGCTAATCTCAGGGGCCCAGAGCATGAAGCTGTGGGAGATATGGAGAAGAGAAGGGAGGGGCAGAGGGGTTAAGGCCCAGTTTTTGTGTAATCTGTTGTGGGAGATGCTTGGACAACATGAATAAGTTTGGGGGGTGGGGCAGAGTTGATGCACTTGTGGGCAGTAGAATACTTCTGTCCCTAGCATAGAGTGGCATGCCACAAGAGTAGGGTTTCCTCTGAGGGATCAAAGTTATTTCTCTGACAGTTTCTAAGGTTTAAGCTCTGTGTATTGCTGGGCCCAAAACTAAACCCAAAGTCATGAGACTTCTCTGACGGAGTTAGGTTGAGCTTCGTGCCCAGTTAGCAAGGAGAGGAGAGGCCATACCAGTCCTTTGAGCTTTAACCTGTGGCTTTGCACAGCTGTTCAAATGTCCATGGGGAAGGGGCAAGGCTTCTTTGGAGGTAGGAAGGTTAGGTTGCATATCCCAGGAGGGCCTGAGCCAGCTGGATACTCTGGGGTGGCAGCAGAAAGGAACCTTCCCTGTCTGTCTCCATTCTCAGTTCATCACAGTGGGAGCTGGGGAGAGCTTCGCTATGGCCAAGAGACTGATCTGGGACTGGACCTCCTCCCATTTCTTTCCTCTTCTGTAAAAGATTAATCCCTGGGCTATAGTGTGCATATTTGTTAGAAGGCTGGGTTATTTTCTTCTTTCCCAAGTGATGTGGGAGAGAGAAAAAAATAAATATTCACTGGAAAAAACTCATAAATTTAACTTTTAAAAAAGAATATCTTCTGATCTGAGTACTGCAACTGCACAGGGAAGAAGGCCTGCCCCTTTAACAAGAGAGAGAAATGATCGGTCATTGATTTGGAGTTCAGGGTTCAGTGCAGAGATTGTTGGGAATGTTGGTTTCCTCTCTGGCAGGATTCTCATTTTTGTTTGCCTCTTCTCTGTACGTCCCTGCTCTCTCTTACCTCATCACTGCAGGCTTCCCAGAGGAAAGACTGACGCAGGAGGGATCAGTGCAGAGGAGGGATATTCAATCCAGTCTGATCCATCTTCGGCAGGCCCAAGAGCTGGGCCTCAAGTCTGGATCCCACAGCCTTCCCCGGAACATCCATATTAGCAGGGACCAGAGCCTTAGAGAGGGCTCCACCTGCCTCTCTAGTCAGTCTGAAGGCCATATCCCTAGAGGGCTTGTGTCAACACCTTTGCAAAACAGAGGCAGCAGTGTAGCCCCACCTGTCTCTCCAGGGACACCTTCTGAATTAGAGGAGGTACTCATACCCCCACCAGAGGCTTTCCGGGACACTTACCAGGAGCAAGGTACCAGAAAGAGCCTCTCCCTTAAAGAGAAGACAAGGCCTGGTCAAGACAACTTGCCCTGGCCCTACACAGCACCTGACACCCAGAAGAAAGAAGAAGCACTTTTGAAGACTATGTCCCAAAGAACCAGTGAGAAGGCCTTGGAAGGGGTCTCAAGGAAGCCTGGGCTGCCTCTGACCTTGCCCTCTGAAAACCAGGGATCTGAAGACTTTCCTCTCCCGGGAGGAGATGATAAAGGTACTAAATTTCCTCCCCCAACAGCTCCTAAGTCCCGCAAACTCCCCCCCAACATTATATTGAAGACCAGTCGCAGTAACTTCCTTAGAGACCCTCAGAACCGGTTCTCTCACCGTTCTCAGGCTGCCATCAGAGAGTCGACTCCAGAGCATGCTGGTTCTGTAGCCTCTGGGCTCCAGGAGCAGAGGCGAGCCAGGCGAGAGGCGCTAGAGAAACTGGGACTCCCCCAAGACCACAATGATGAGCCCAAACTCCATTTGGCCAAGTCTGGTAGCATTCTCAAGTCTAAGCAATCACCAGCTCAGGCTCCCACCCCAGCCCCTGCTCCTGTTCTGGCTCCTGCTCCAGCCCAGGCTCCTGCTCTGGTCCAGGCTTCAGTTCCAGCCCCTGCTCCTGTTCCAGTCCAGGCACCTGCTCCACTTTCGGCTTCTGGTGGAGTCCAGGCTCCAGTTTCATCTCAAGCTGTAGCTTCTGCTCCTGCTTCAGCTAAGGCTACAGGTCCTCCATCCACACCCATCCCCATCCCCAAGCCCACAAAAGTCAGCAGCAGCCCCCCAACTCAATCAAGGCCAGACTCCAGACTGGCACTCAAGGAGGGCTCCATCCCTGGCCTTCGGCAGATGAACTTCAAGTCCAACACCCTGGAACGGTCGGGGGTGGGGCTGAGCAGTTACCTCTTAGCCGAAAAGGACAACCCACCCCAAACCAGCACCTCTCTGGGCAAGGTCCCTTTCCTGGACAGGATCTCCCCGAATGTTCTGCGCAACTCCAGGCCCCGTCCGGCCTCTTTGGGTGGAGGGAAAGACTTTGCCAACATCCAGGTGGGCAAGCTGGCAGACCTAGAGCAGGAACGGAGCTCCCAACGTTTCTCTTACCCAGGACAGAGTCGAGACAAGCTGCCCCGGCCCCCATGTGTCAGTGTTAAGATCACTCCCAAAGGCATTCCAGATGAGAACCGACGGGAGGCCTTAAAGAAACTGGGCCTGCTAAAGGAGTAGACCTAGGGTTGCTGGGTGAGGAGAGGCATTAGACACTCTCCAAGGACTCCTGGTTCTGCAGAGTGACTGGTGTGAAGCATATCCTTTGGATATTTTCCCCTTTCTTTCTAGAGGGTTAGAAGTGGATGGTGGGGGGAGAGGAGAAGAAGAGAAGGGAGAGAGGAGAGATTCAGCCTTGAGCTTCACAGAGGCTGTCAGTGAGGTTTCCAAGAAGTTGTTTTGTGTGTGTGTGTGTGTGTGTGTGTGTGTGTGTGTGTGTGTGTTCTATAATAATATGAGATGGGTATTATTAATACAGGGTGTCCCAAAAGTCTTAGTGTAGTTGTGAGTTTATGAAAGCTTAAGTTTAAGCTTATTAAAGTGTGAGACTGCACTAAGACTTTTAGGACACATTGTATGTATTAGTCTATATATATCATTGGGGATATTTATATTACAATAGATGTAATAATTGCTCAGGACTCTGATCTTAAAGGAGGTATTTCTCCACTTGCTGGCGTCCAGCTGGATGTGGAGGAAAAATATATAAGGGTGGTCAAGGTTGTTAAGAAGATCAAATAAGATATCAAGAAAGGGACTGGATTGATGACTTCACTGACACAGGAAATGCCCATTACTAGTGCCGGTCAGCATCTTCTGCCCTCTCTGCAACTTAGGAGCAGTGAGAGGTTCATTTTCCCAGGGTCACTAAGGCCATTTGTGTCAGGTCTTTCTGTCTCTGAGGCAGCTTTTGACTGTCTCCACCACGCCGTCTCTCTAAAATGAAATAACTTTCATGAAAGTACTTTTAAAAGAGCTCACAATCATAAAATGTAAATGTGGCTCTACAAGGATCTGGGCAGTGAGTCCATTCCTAATCTGGGGCTCAGTGATTGATGCTGTTGTACATTCTCTCCCCTCACCTGAGACCCCAAGATAACTCCAACCACCTGGCTGGGCAAAGGGACAGAGGGAGAGGCCAGATATCCATCTCTCACCTCCTTTCCCACCATCCCAGAGTACGGCTTGTTGCCATGAGGTCACCACCTGAAAATGCTTGTTCTGTGTTGTGGGGTTGGAGAATGGGAGTGGGGAGGTCCTTCTAGTCCCTGAGATGTGGCTTCTTACCATCCTTCTCTACCTACATATCCCCCTTTTGGGAGAGTCCATGGTCCAGATGCTTAGGCAGTGAAGTTCTCTTTTGTCCCAACCACTCCAAGTACCAGTGGGATGGCTCATCTTATACCTTTGTCACACTGCACTTGGGGAAGCTAGACCCTAGGACTGCCAGTGGCATCGGCCTTGCTATGGAGTGAAATACTTTCAGCCTGGTCCAGGTTTTCTTCAGAGCCATCAATCACTCCCTTAGGGGCACTTACAAATACCCTTAACTCCCTGAAGGTAGAGGATGAGGATGTAAGGAGAGTAAACTCCTCTAGCAGGGAGCTCTTTAGAGCTAGAAGGACCTTTAGGAATCATTCCAGCCAACCCTATCATTTTATAAGACAGCTGAGGCCCAAAGAGGGTAAATAACTTAACCACATCATACTAGGCAGAGGTGTGACCAGAATGGAGATCTTCAGACCCCTAGGCTAGCGTGCCTTCTACTTAGTTGGTTGTCTTTTGTTCTCCAAGAGGACACCTTCTACTATATAATGCTGCCTCTACTAACTGGGGATTATTGACACTCCTTTACTTAAATGTGTGATCTTGGGTAAGGCTTTTAACCTCTGAAGCTTATTTTCCTCCTCTGTAAACCTGGGATCATGATATTTGTACTACCTACCTCACAGGTTGTGAGGTGTAAGCAAACTGACCTATGTAAATGAAAGCACTTTGTTAAGTGTAAAGCACTATATAAATACAAGCTGTTATTATTATTTTTATTATTCTGAGATGGTCAAAGCACTGAAAGATCATAAAGAACACTTGAGAAAGCAAAGATTAAATTTCATTTAGTATAATTTGTAGTGTTGTGTACATTATTGTATATGGATTGCTCTTGGGTATTGTTCATCCATATGTGGAACACATGGTAACAGCATTAACAGCAATATCCCATTCCTTCAATATGCCAGATAACAGACAATTGTCTGTCATTTGTCATCCTTCATGCTCAAAGAGAACCAAAATGACATCACTATGTTGGGGTCAGTGGACAGTGTGTCAGACTGTGACTGATCAGAGACTTTATCACAGGTCAGACACAAATAGTCCATATTTGAGATTTGTAAGAAGGAGGGAAACAGGAAATTCGGTGGAGAAAAGAGGAGCTGCTTACAAACAGCATTTTGCCATAGTTATGTGTGGTTTGTCTTTTGTTCTCAAAGAGGACCATGACATCAGGGAGATGATAACGTGACCTGCAATTGAATTTGATGTGTGTGAGGGAGGGTTATGCGAAGTCACCAGCCTCACTTTCTCCTCGACAGCCGTCTGGGTCCAGTGGCAAGATATGATCAAGATGACTGGAGATGGCCCAGGATGCAGAGGGAGACCTTTGCTTTTTTAAGCTAAAGTCTTTTCTATTTCTCACTTTGAGAGAAGCAACATCCATTCAGTGAATAGGCCTCTTTAAGATGTGAGTCAAGGGATGGCTCAAAAAAAATCAAACTGGTTCTTCGGCAGGGACCAATTGTCCAATCAATGAGATCCAGAGTGAATTGTGTTTAATGCCATGGACTAGGTTGGGAAAAGCTAAGCATGAACCAGTTAGGTCCTCTCAGATGAAATATGGCCATCTTATTCACAACTTTGATCTAGTGGGGGTATCTAGATTTTCTCATTAAGCAAGAGTAGGTAGAGGAAAGCAGTTCCTGGAATTAGTGAATTTCTGTCTTACTTGGCAGTTTGTAGGATCATAAATTCATTGAAATCACAGTTCTGGTTTGTACCCTGATCCTTTGACCCTGTATAGGACTTGGTCCTGAGACTAGTATAATTGGATTTTAGGAATTCCCATAGGATAAGGATAGAGAAAACTAAAACTTCTCTGTCCTCCTGTTGAGTGGAATGTGAGTATATTTTAGCTTAATCAGTCTGAACCCTGCCCCTGAGCTAAACTAAGCCTTGAGCATTTCTGCCACATCTCTAGCTAAGATGAAGATCCTACTATACTTTTACCTCCTAGGGATGTGGTTGGATTTAAAATGATTGCCTATGATGTGCTTAGGGAGCCCTTCTTTCCTCTGCTCCCATTTTATGCATGTGTACGTATGCCTATACCCACTCTCTCCAGTATGCCTTGCTCCTGGACCATTGGAAGGAACCTTACACATATGAATAATCTCAGTTCCACAAGAGGTTCTGTAAACAGAAGTCCTATTTCAGTAGCAATACTCAGACCCAGTGGATTTGGGTTTGACTGGAATTACTGTGTGTGTGTGTGTGTGTGTGTGTGTGTGTGTGTGTGTGTTATTACACTGCTCCCATCACTTTTGTAGAGCATTAAGCCCACATAAGTTTTATTTTTTCCACCACATGCCCAATCAGTTTATTAATCTATGATTTTTCCATGGCAGTTTAATAATTATCTACATGAATCAGGCAACTTGAGCATAGTTGGATACCCAGGCCCTTGGAAGTAATCTAGTAGGCAGCTACACTCCACTCCTCTGTTGTGTTTACGGGTGGAAATAGTGTGGGCTGGAGAGGAATGACTGGTTAAGTCCCCACCTCCTGGAACTGGGAGGGATAGTTTCCCTCTCAGGTCTTATCACAGCTCTTTCTACCTTTAGCAAAGGTACAGAGGCCAGATATTGAGTTGAGGCCAATGATTATTTTCAGAGAGCTGGCTCCTATGAAAGGTCTTGCCTCCCAGGCTCTTAATGGCTCTTTCTTCCCCTGTGGACTGCAGATTCATTTACTGTGTGACCTTGGGCATGTTATTTAACCTTTATAAGCCTCAGTTTCCTCATATGGAAAATAAAGGGGGTACACTAAATGGCTTCTAAACTCTCCTGAATCCTATGATACTACTCTGAAAGGTCATAGAATTTTAGGATTTTGAGTTGGAAGGAACCATAGAGATCTTTCAGTTTAACTCCCTCATTTTATAGATGAGGAAATTGAAGTTCAGACAAGTAACTTACACAAGATCATATAGATAAATAAGTGGTAGGATTCCAGCCCAGGTCATGTGAGATTCCAAGGCCAGTGCTTTTTCTGCTAAACCACATGGCTTTGGAATTCTTAGAATCTCTTACTCTGGGAGACAACTTGTCCTATATATGTCTCTTCCTCGAGACAAAGAGAGTTTTGTGCTCTTGGAGTCCTCGACCCAACTTTTTATAGGTATTCTGGGATTCGCTTGAACAGAAAAAAGAATAAAGTCATGTTACTGGTGCCCCCATCACTACACATAGCTGCCTTTCACCAATTCTTAACAGATAGAGTAGGGCTAAGGTGAAGGGGAGAGTATTTCTCTTAAAGGAGTTTCCAGGAAAACTAGAATAAGGGAAACCTCTTCTTTCCAAAGAAAGTTTGGAAAAGTCAAAGAACCAGCCCCATTTCCATTTGGCCCAAGCTCTCCGTGTCACATTTCCCTCAGTTCTATTGCTGCTAGGTGTGGACTGTCTGACAAATACAACAGCCAGCATCACTCAAGCCTGACCCAATACAATCTATGACTTTAGCCTTGTTGACAAATACCTCTGAATCACTAACAACACCTTATTCTGTGAGCCCTTTGCCCACATTACATGGGGTGGCCCAAGAACCATCCCACCCTGAGACCAAAACATGGACAATTTGTATTTTTAAGATCCTTTTCAACCCAAGAAGTCTATGATTCCATGTCCCAGTGAGCAAGGTGATCAGGAAAAGACCCTGGCTCTCTAATCTGAAGCATTGGGGGAAGGGTAATGTCATATTCTGACTATACATCTGTTGCTGGTCCCCTGGGAAGCAGTGGGGTAGAGTGGTTGGAGGATAGATCCCACTGGGGAGAGGTAGAAGGTAATGGGAGAGGAGAGGTGCCTAGAACTTATGATATTTGTGCATTTGTAAGATGTGCCAATCTTTATCTTGAAGTCAATGTCCATCTCTTCTCCTCAAAGGTTTTCCAGAAAGAAAAAAAAAACATCAGGAGTTAAGCGCAAGTGTCAAATGCCATCCTACTTTTTGGGCACAGTAAGGAGAAAATGTGCTAGTCCTCAACAAGGGACAAGAGATGCTCTTCCCACATTCTTTCTAGACAAATTATTCCCATTGTATTAGCCATAGATGAGCTTGTGTTCTGGGCTGGGCCTGACTCAAACCAGTTGCTTGGTAGTTTAGGTTTGATATTGGAATGAAATAAGATGTTTGTAGGTCACTGGATAGTTAAGGAAAGGAGATTTACTCAACCATTGCAAGTGAAGGATGTCCAGCAAAGATAGGTATTAAGGAAACCTCAAATTGATTCAGCTGAGTGACCCTCCCTTAGCTGAATTACCCATCATGATTCACCAGCCAAACCTCTAAGACACCCTTCTCCCAGGTCCTCCTGGACCCTTTTGTACTTGGGCGGTGAGAAAGTGACATCAACAATCTGAACCTTAGTCCCTTGAGCCAACCAAGTGTCAAAGAATGTTTCAATACCTTTTAAAGAAAAACTAGGCTGACCTGCATGGGGAGAAGGCTCAGATATTGTTCTTATCATGTTCTGAGAATACTCTTGACCTTCTCAGCCTGCTCCATACCATGTCTTTTCTACTCAGACCATCACCTCCACCTCTTTCCCTACCTGGAATCTGAACTCCAACCATCGTTGGTTCTCAGCTCTAGGTGAGTTTTTGTCATATTTTGCCAGGGTCTAGGCTTTGACAACAGGCCTCCTCCATATCATGCCCCTACACAGTTTCCCTCTTTCTCCCCTTTCCTCCCTTCCAGCTCCCCTTTATATGTTGTCTTTCACTTTTATAATGTAAGCTCCTTGAGGGCAGGGATTGTCTTGTATTTGTAACCCTAGTGCTTAGCACAGTGCATTGAACATACTAAATGCTTAATAAATGTGTCATCTATCTGTCTATCTATCTATCCATCTATCTATCTATCTATCTATCTATCTATCTATCTCTCTGTCTGTCTATCCATCCATCCATCCATCCATCCATCCATTTCTCTTTCTATCATTTATTTATCTATCTCACTAATGAGCTTGTGGGAGTGGAGTGTTAGGGTCAGTATGAGTAAAACAGAAGGGTAGTGGTGCAATGGGAGGCTGGAGGGAAACATGTTTTGTCAGAACCTTAAAGTACCCACTCAGAATGGACCATGTTATTCTCCACTCACCTTTGCAAAAAGTCATCCCTTTCACAAGGCAGATATTTCAACAGTATGTCAGTAACACTGTAGTTAGGGGAATCCTAATTCAAAGGCAATGGCTATGTAGCCCTAGTTTCTTTGGGAACCACTCAGTTTCTTGCTCACTTGCATTTGACCATGTGGTGTTAGGGCAAAAGCTGGTTTTCCAGTGTGAACAAGTGGCTAGTGTTGAGGACTTCTTCATACTTGATCATTTCCCAAGTGCCTTTCAACTTTAAATCTATGATCCTCCAGCCCTCTCCTCCCCCCATCTCTGGTTAATGAGTATCTAGAAAAGGAAGCAGTGATTACAGAGCACTAATGTGTCTTTATCAAGAGTAGCTCATGCAAGACTAATGTCATTTCATTTCTCAACAGGTTACTAAATTGGTAGATAAATGAATGCTAGAGGTATAATTTTACCTAGATTTCAGTGAGGCATTTGACAAAGTTTCTCATGCTTTATTTTTTTAAATTTTCAAAAGGTAGAAAGATGTAGGGTATAATGCAGTTAGGTGGTCTCAGAACTGTCAGTGTGGAAGGAACCTGGGCTAGTGGACTGCCCTAAGAGTCCAAGCTGACCATGGCCCTCTACTGTTTAGCATTTTAAAAAATGGTTTCCACAAAGGCATAGAGGACATGTTTATCAATTCTGAAGATGACACAAAGCAGGCAGTAT